TAAAATGTGTCTGTGACTTTAATGATCACCATTCCACAATACTGTGTAATATGTGGAATTCAATTAAAAATATTTTAAAAAATCCTGTTTTAAACAGAACTTGCCCATGTTGAGCTATGTTGAAGTTTAAGCCTAACAATGTATATTTGTTTGTTGAGTTTGCTATCCTCAAATTCATGACCTTCCTACCTCAGTTTCCCTCCATGCTGAGGTGAGTACCACCACTCCTAGCAACAATGTAATCCTTTATTTTTGTCAAGATCATTTTGCCAAATTCTTTTTTTGTTTTTTTTTTGGGTCCGGTCGTGGGGCCTGAACTCTGGGCTTGGGCACTGTCCCTCAGCTCTTCAGCTCAAGGCTAGCACTCTACCACTTGAGCCACAGCACCACTTCTGGCTTTTTTCTTATGTGGTGCTGAGGAATCGAACCCAGGGCCTCAGGCATGCAAGGCAAGCGCTCTACCACTGGGCCAACTTCCCAGCCCACATTTTGCCAAATTCTTGAGATCACTATCCTCATTCTCCTTCCACTTTCTTTCTTTCTTTTTTGGGGGGGTCCGGTGGTGGGGTCAGAACTCTGGACCTGGATGCTGTCCCTCAGCTCTTCAGCTCAAGGCTAGCACTCTACCACTTGAGCCACAGTGCCACTTCTGGCTTTTTTCTTTTTGCTTATGTGGTGCTGAAGAATCGAACCTAGGGCCTCATGCATGCAAGGCAAGCACTCTACCACTGAACCACCTTCCCAGCCTCTCCTTCCACTTTTTTTTTTTGATTTTTTGATTTTTTTTTTTGTCGGTCGTGGGGCTTGAACTCTGGGCCTGGGCGCTGTCCCTCAGCTCTTCAGCTCAAGGCGAGCGCTCTACCACTTGAGCTACAGCGCCACTTCCGGTTTTCTGGTGGTTTATTGGAGATAGGAGTCTCATGGTCTCTCCTGCCCGGTCTAGCTTTGAACCACGATCCTCAGATCTCAGCCTCCTGAGTAGCTAGGATTACAGGCGTGAGCCACCAGCGCCCGGCTTTTTCCTTCCACTTTTTAATGTTGTACTAGGCCCCCCTGTGACCTTTGCCCTGTTCTGCCTTTGTGGACACACCCTCAGCCAGAGCTACTGGGTTGAGCCCTGGGTTGTGGTTTCAAATGGTTAATCCTGTTTTGTTTTCCCCCCTTTCCTGCCTTCCACTACTAACTTGCATTTTCCCTCCAGGTCCAGTTCACCCACCCGCTATTTTCTTCCCTCCACCTCTTCTTGGCAGGCCTGCAGGGATGAACTTGACCCACATAGGAATCTCATTTTCCCTTGAACTCTTCTCCCTGCTTGTAACCATAGTCATAACTCTGTTTCCTCCTTTACTTCCTCCCTGCTTCTCATTTTTCTTTCTAACCAATATTTCCCAGTTTAATCCCTTGGATTATCACTTTTTCAGTTTCTTCACTTTCTATCTTCCATTACCACGAAGCATTTACCTGTATTTATTTTCTGCAGTGCTAGGGATTGAACCCAAGGCCTGGTACATACTATACAAATGCTCTACCACTGAGCTATACCCTCAGACAAGCAATATATATTGTGTGTGTTTCTGTATGTGGTGTGTATGTATGTGTGAGTACTAGGGCTTGAAATCAGGACCTTATGTTTTTGCTTAGCTTTTTCCACTTAACACTAGCATTCTAGCACTTGGGCTATAGCTCCACTTCTGGTTTTTTGCTGGTTGTTTGGAGATAGCTTCAAACTGGTTCCGCAGAACTCAACCTTCTGAGGAGGTAGGACAATAGTTGTGAGCCACTGGCACAGGCTTTTGTTTTTGTTTAATTTTTGAGGCAAGGTCTCATGCTGAGATTGCAGATGTATGCTACCATCCTGCATATCTTTTTTTTTTTTTTTGTCAGTCATGGACTTGAACTCTGGGCCTGGGCACTGTCCCTCAGCTCTTCAGCTCAAGGCAAGTGCTCTTGAGCCACAGTGCCATTTTTGGTTTTCTGGTGGTTTATTAGAGATAGAGTCTCACGGACTTTCCTGCCCAGGATGGCTATTTGTGTTTTCTTTTGCTTCTTATGCTTTGGTATATATAAGATACTGTTGCCTAATTCAAGGTCATAATGATTTTTTTTTTTTATGTATATTTCACTCTAAGAATGCAGTCGTTTTTTGTTTTTTTTTGTCTGTCACGGGGCTTGAACTCTTTAGCTTTGCTACTTTAGCTATAACACTACTTCCAATTTTCTGGTGGTTTATGGGAGGTAAGAGTCTCACCGACTTTTCCTGCCTAGGTTGGCTTTGAATCGTGATCCTCAGATCTCAGCCTCCTGAGAGGCTAGGATTACAGGTGTGAACCACCAATGCCTGGCTTATTATTATTTATTTATTTATTTATTTATTTTCTGATCATGGAGCTTGAACTCAAGGCCTGGGTGCTGTCCTGAGCAATTTTTTCTCAAGGTTAGCACTCTACCCCTTTGAGCCACAGCACCACTTCTGGTGTTTAACTGGTTAGTTGGGACTTTTCTGCCCAGACTGGCTTTGAACCGTGATCCTCAGATCTCAGCCTCTTGAGTACAGCTAAGATTACAGCCTTGTGGCAAACCAGCACCTAGCCTACTATCATCATTTGAAAAATAAATAAAGGGGCTGGAAATGTGGCTTCACAGCAGAGGGCTTGCCTAGTAGGCATGAAGCCCTAGGTTCAATTCCTCAGTTCCACATAAATTGAAAAAGCTGGAAGTGGCACTGTGACTCAAGTGGAAGAGCACTGCCTTGAGCAAAAGAAGCTCAGGGTCAGTGCCCAGACCCTGAGTTCACGTCTCAGGACTGGCAAAAAGATTAAAAATAAATAAATAAATAAAATAAATGGCTTTGAGGTGAAGTTATTAGTTGTGTTGGGACTGAATAGTGTAGAATAAGTCCAACCTGTTAAGATGTAGACCAGCACACAATCTTCTCCAAAAGAATAAAATATTCACACCCACCAAGGAATAGCTGTATGACTCCAGCCCCTAATCCTAGCATTCTCTCCTTTTGTGGTCTTCCAATCCACTCAAAATTTTTTTTCTTTTTGTTTCTGTAGGCCTGGGAACTGAACCCTAACAACAAAAAAGAAATGAACAATAGTCAAGTATTCTGACCCCAGCCCTTTTGTCTTTTTTTTTTGTCAGTTGTGGGGCTTGAACTCTGGACCTGGGTGCTGTCCCTCAGCTCTTCAGCTCAAGGCTAGTGCTCTACCACTTGAGCTACAGTACCACTTCAGTTTTCTGGTGGTTCATTGGAGATAAGAGTCTCATGGATTTTTCTGCCCAGGCTGGCTTTGAACCGAGATCCTCAGATCTCAGCCTCCTGAGTAGCTAGGATTACAGGCGTGAGCCACTGGCACCTGGCAAGCCCTTTTGTCTTATCTGGTTTTTGAGATAGGGTCTCTAATTTTGCTCAGACTGACCTTGAACTTGTGATTCTCCTATTTCACCTCCTGAGCAGCAGGCATGCACCCAAAGCCCAAAAGTTTCTTGCTTTTGCTTGTGTTGTGTTTCTAGGAAGATTCTCTAACTCCTATTTCACATTTATTTTGCAAGGCTGGCTACTAAGTTCTCCTAAATTTCAACTTATTTCTTTGTTATCTGCACTACCTAAAACAGCTCTTTCTCTCTCTTTCCCCCTTTCTTTCTTTCTTTTTTTTTTGTCGGTTGTGGGGCCTGAACTCTGGGTCTGGGCACTGTCCCTTAGCTCTTCAACTCAAGGCTAGCGCTCTACTACTTGAGGCATAGCGCCACTTCTGGCTTTTTCTGCTTATGTGGTGCTGAGGAATCAAACCCAGGGGCTCATGCATGCTGGGCAAGCACTCTACCACTGGGCCACCTTTCCAGCCCCTTTTCTGTTTCTTTCTTTCTTTCCTTCTTTCTTTTTCTTTCTCTCTCTATTTCCTTTCTTTTCTTTTCTTTTTCTTTCCAGAACTCTGAATTTTCCTTAGCTTTTGTGCCCAAGGCACTTGAGCCAGAATTCCACTTCTAGCTTTTCACTGGTTAATTGGAGATGAGTCGCAAAGATCTTCCTGCTTGGGCTGGTTTGGAATAGAGATCCTTAAATCTCAGCCTCTGGAGTAGTCTTTTTTTTTTTTTTAATTAGTTAACATTAGCTATAAAGGGGAGATTTACATTTCCACATTACATCATATTCCAGTCAATCTCACCCCTCTATCACTCCTTTTTTTCCCTAGTTAATTTTTTAAAATAAAAACAAAACAAAAACAACAATTCAGCTCCTGGCTGGGAATGTGGCTTCGTGGTAGAGTGCTTGCCTAGCATGCATAAAGCTCTGGGTTCAATTCCTCAGTACCACACAAACAGAAAGGGCCAGAAGTGGCGCTGTGGCTCAGGTGGTAGAGTGCCTTGAGCACTGAGAGGCTCAGGGACAGAGCTCAAGCCCTGAGTTCAAACTCCAAGACCAGCACAATTAAAAACGGGGGAAAAAAAAGACAAAAAATGAGCTCCAGTCTCCATCAAGGCGCCCATCCCATCATGCATATATATGTATGCGCACACACACAGGAATTGAAGCTTTCCAACTCAGCGGGCAGAGGTGTCTCTTCTCTAGAGAAGATTGTTTTTCCAGAGAGCATGCTTTCTTTTTTCTTTTTTTGCCCAAATGAAAAGTGTTTCGGATCTGAGCAGGGCTGGCCGCTCCGAACCCCACCCTGTCCAACTGTCCGGAGGGAACTGATTTCCCCAAGTTCCTGGCAGAGTCCGTGACTCATCGTGACATCCCTTCGCAGGCATCATTCCAAAATCCAAACAAACCCTTTTGGAGGAAAGTGTTTCACTCTGATCACGCCAAGTGCAGAAAGTGGGCATAAGAGTTGCACTCATTGGTTCCAGGAGAGCAAATCCGCGCAGCCGGTGCAACATCACGAGACAGAAAATGCAGGCACCCTCGGGTGGGAAACCGCTGGCGCTCCCTCTTCCCCCGGCCCGCCGAGATTACGGCTCCTCTCGCGAGAGCTCGGGCGGCCGCGGGATGTTCACCAAATGATCCAGACCGCGCCCCCTCTTGGCGCAGCTGGGAAGACGCGCGCGCGCGCGCGCGCGCGCACGTGAGGTACGGGCGGGAGTGACTGGCGGCGCGCACGCGCAGGTGAGCAGACCGACGGGCGGCCGGGGGAGGGAGGAGGGCGCGGGGGCGCGCGAGGGGCACGAGGGCGAGGGGCGGGGCTTTGCGTCGCGCCGCGGGCACGTCGCTGCGCGTCCTCAGTATTTAATGTCTCTGTGTTCCCTCGGCCTGGGCGAGCACGTGGGGGAGCGGCCGGAGCGTAGCGCTGCCGGGCCAGGCTGGGCCGCGGGGTGAGGCTGGGGTTGGGGGGGGGGGCGGCGGCGGCGGCGGTACGAGGACCTGCATCCCGACGGTCACCGAGGAACTGGTAAGTTGAGGCCGCCGAGGACGACCGGCCCGGACACCCGTTACTGGGCCTTCTAGGGGAGCCGTCGGGGAGGAAGGGGGCCGGGTGATGGCGATTGTGGGGGTGCAGGTGCAGGATGCGGCGCGTGGGCTGCGTTTCCAGGGGGGCAGGTGGAGGCTGAGGGGCCCGGGACGCCCGCGGGTCCTTCCCTGCCTCGGGGGCCCGCGCGCCCGCGCCCGTCCTCCGCCGGGGCTTGCGTGCCCGCAGGCTCCCGCTGACAGGTCGCGCGTGCGGGACTCGGGGGCGGCGCTGCGAGCCCCGGTTGCTCACGCGCGTCCCCGTCCGCTGGGGGCGGGGACGAGGAGGGCAGCGAGGCCCGGGGTGCCCCCTTCTGCGCCCTAACTTTTCCCCCCCGTGCGCGCGCAGCGGCCGGCGGGGCGGACCGGCGCGCGTCCCACCCAAGGTCGCCCAGCCCCACTCGCGTTTACTTTTCAAAGGTCGTGTGTACCCAGTCTGCGTCCCCGAGAGGCGGCGGCGGGGCGGGCTGTGGGCAGGGCCCCGGGGCTCTCCCCCGACACCCTGTGCCCGCCGGACCCTCTTTCCTGTAGGGCTGCGGGATTGGAGTTGGACGGGTCGCTTCTGGAAGGCTCCCCTAACTTCGGGTCCCCGCTGAGTCGTCCCCGGGTTGGCCGGGTGGCGGTGGCGCATCCGAGCTTGTGTCCCAGCCCTTGGAGTTCTGTGCGGCGAACTCGGTGGGGAGGATTCAGCGGGCTGAGCCGGGAGGATGGGCTGGGAAACGATCGGGACCCAAAGAACCCCGTTAGGACCCCCAGGCCCGTGACTCGGGGGTCTCCTGGGATATTAGCATTTGTAGCGCGCCCCCTGGAGCGCGTCCCGAGAGGTGGGGCCTTGGAGCCCCCCCTCCCCCGGTGCCTACTGATTTCACCCCTAAGGGTGCCAGAGGTCACCAGTCCCGCACCCCGTCTACGACCTGCTGGGACGTCCAGGGGTTAGTAGAGGTTAAAATGTGCTTGGGAGGCTTAACTGGGGCCCGACGCCTCAGGGCCGAGTTTCCCCGAGTTCAGCTATTTTGCGCCCTGGGGGACGCCTCCTGGCGTTTCAAGTCCTGGGTGAATGAGGGAAGATGCCGATGATAGTGGGACCCTGGGTCTCCGGGAAGCCGTGGGCATTGCAGGAACCTTCCACGCCCCGGGAGTGGCTTAGGGGGACCGAGAGCCTTTCCTCCCCGCCCCTGGGATTGTGGTTAACACGAACCCGGTGGACTTCGCCCCAGGTGCCGGCCAAGGCCTCTCAAATCCTATGGGGTAGGTTGTATGTGCAGGGCAATTAGTAAGGTTAAACTGCCTGTCTTTTCCCCTACTGAAGTGCAGACTGCTTGGTGTTTAAATTTAATTCCTGCAGTGAAATCTGGGCTGCTGGACCTGATGCAACCATGCCTGTTAGTTGGTTTGCAACCCCACTCCTTCCACCTCCCCGTGTGGCAATTAGAGTCAGGAACTGGAACGCCATTCACCAAAAAGGATTACTTCTGACAATACCTTACATGTCCGTTTATCTCTAAGTCTTTTCCAAATTAGTACTTTTAAAACTCTATTTAGAAAGCAAAGCTTGGACTCTTAGCACCACCCAGCCACTCAGCTCTTAAAGATGCAGAGCATCTTTGAAACGAAGAGGGCTGAATGAACTGATATTTATCTCATTCCTCTTTCCTTGGCATTCAGACGGTTCACCTGCTTATTGTTTGACTTTCTGAACCCTGGAATCAAGTGATGTTTTATCTTGGGAGCTTTTTTTTTTTTCACTGTTTCTTCTTTATTCTTTAACAATTTGTTGTTGTTGTTGGTGGTGGTGTTGAACTCATGGTCTGGGTGCTGTCCCTGAGCTTTTTCACTCAAGGCTAGCACTCTACCACTTTGAGACACAGTGTCACTTGCGATTTTCTGGGTGTTAATTGAAGATAAAAGTCTCAGACTTTTTTGCCCAGGCTTGCTTCAAACCTGGATCTTCTAATCTCAGCCTCCTGAGTAGCTAGGATTACAGGCATGATCCACAGGCGCCCGGCTCTTATTAGTTTTAAGCTTCTGAAATAAGGCTCTGGGTTAGAGGAGTTTTATCTAGTCCTGTTTATCACTAATGTTTGTCTATTTCTGAATTAAGTAGACTATTGTCATGCAGGTAGTTGTTTCTGTGCTGGTAACTGATCCTGCCCAGTAAGTGAGACTAGCCTGGAGGATTTGTCAAGGTGTAGTCTAGTCCCTTGTTGGACTCTGTCACATCCCAGCAGAAAATGCATTCACACTTGTCTGCTGCTGGGTGACAGCAGAGATAGATCTAAGAACCTGTTGTAAGTAGCCTGCTCAGGTGCTGCAGTTGATGTGCCTTCAGTGTAAGGTTGCTGAGCATCAGTGTTTTAAAGCATTTGTCTGGCTGCCTAGTAACCCAGATTATACTGGGCTTGGGGCCCAGACTGGTCATAGCCATAGTTGTAGCCTCCAGTGTTCCCTTTCTCTTCCTAAGGAAGGAAGGATAGAGATCATATGATTGATTATATATGTAAGACTTGGGACTGTGCCTGATAGGTGCTGCTTATGCATTGTCTTTTTTTTTTCCTCTCTGCCTTAGGAATCCCTGAGTCTGACTTCTAAGTTTCTTTCATTTCAATCACTTGAGTGATTTGAGGTGTTTTTGGTTTTTGTTTGTTTTGTTTTTAATGGCTTGGGCTTGAACTCAGGCCTGGGCATTGTCCTTGAGCTCTTTTGCTCAAGGCTAGGGCTCTACTACTTTGAGCCACAGTGCCACTTCTGATTTTTGACTGGTTGGTGGGAGATGAGATTTTTCTGCCTGGTCTGGCTTCGAACCTCAGTCCTCAGATCTCAGCCTCCGAGTAGCTAGGAATGTAGGTGTAAGCCACCAGAACCTGGCTGATTTGCATTTTATAAAGAGTACCATTCTTGGTGTTGGGGATTCAGTTCAGTGGAAGAGCACTTGCCTGGTAAGTGCAAGGTCTTGAGTTTGATCCTCAGCTCTTCCAAAAAAAAAAAGAGTACTATTCTCCCTTAGCTTCTGACTTAGTGTCTAGGTTGGAAAGAAACGGGAGACAAGTTGGTTGTCCCCATTTTGCCTGGGTCAACATGTCTTTGTCCTCATTTTGCCTGGGTCAACATGTCTTGATTATGTGGGCATTAGGTTATATGTGCTTGGAGAGTGGGCAGTGGAGGGGGGGTCTAGGCAGGCCTATTGAACCTAGTTAGCTCATAGGAGGAGAGTTGGTAACCATTAGAGAGCTCAGATTATGTTCCTGGGGCTTACAAGGAGGCATATGTTTGGGCTACTGTTCAGAGCAGTGCAGATCAAGCACATTTTCATCACGCTAGAAATTTGTTGGACAGTGCTGCTCTAGAATATTTATTTATTTTTGCTCAACTCCACAAAATGTCATTACTATAGCTTGTAATCTCCATTATACATTGGTTGCCTTCATCAGATATTTTAAGAAGCAAGCTCTGGTCTCCAGTTGGGAAGAGTTATCAATTATGAAACAGTGTTAGAGAGGCTTGGGGACACAGCAAGAAGCTAGTCAGTTTGGTTTGAGAGCCTGTTTATCACTACAAAGGTCTTTTTCTGGCTCTCCAAGTCTGTGCGCATTGTTCTGGGTCTACAAATGTCAAATGTCACCAGATCTGCCGATGACTTCTTACAGGACCTACACTAGCCAGGATGCAGTTTCATCTGCTCCTGCAGTCTGTGTTAGGAGGTGCACGGGAGAATAGGTGGCCTGCTGCTCCTGAGATGGGTGTGGGTGAGCCTGGGTTGCTTAGCAGCCTTCAATAGGTGTCCTGCATTCAGCCCTGGGTTATGCATTTTGACACATGGTGTGAGACCTTTCTTCCCTGACCAGGTGTAGCCTGTGTCCAACAAGTTATCCAGCACCTTTCGGTGTTTTAGGATTATTGTTTTTTTTACAGTTTATTTTAAAATGAGATCTTGTTCTGTTACCCAAGTTGGCCTTGAACTCACCCCTAGGTGATTCTTGTGTATGTTCTTACACACATTTGAAAGTTTTAGCAATGATTTGTTTTATTTATTTACTTATTTTTTGTTGGTCATGGGGCTTGAACTCTGGGCCTGAGCACTCTACCACTTTAGCTACAGCACCACTTCCTGTTTTCTGGTGGTTTTTATTGGAGATAAGAGTTTCATGGACTTCCTGCCTGGGCTGGCTTTGAACCCTAATCCTCAGATCTCAGCCTCCTGAATAGCTAGGATTACAGGCGTGAGCCACCAATGCTCGGCTGATTTGTTTTAGTATAACAAAATTAAAGTAGGGAGAAATGGAGAAGAGAGAAACATTTCCTGTTTGTCCTTCAGGATGTGGGAGTTAAAGGTACAATGAACCATGGGGGGTTTTTTAATCCTGTCAACACCTCTGGTGGTTCCTGGTTTGAACTAAGGGGTTGGTAAACTGATTTCTGGACACTGGGAATGTTGTCTTCCTCCCTCCCCCCCTTCTCCCTCTCCCTCTCCCTCTCCCTCTCCCTCTCCCTCTCCCTCTCCCTCTCCCTCTCCCTCTCTCTCTCCCTCTCCCTCCCCCTCCCCCTCCCCCTCCCCCTCTTTCTTCTGGTCCTAGGGCTTGAACTCTGGGCCTGGGTACTGTCCCTAGGCTTCTTTATATCTTTTCTGGGATTAATTGGAGATAAGAGTCTCACAGACTTTCCTCCCCCAGGCTGGCTTGGAACCATGATTCTCACATCTCAGACGCCTGAATAGCTAGGATTAGAGTTGTGAACCATCAGTGCCTGGCTGGCTGGTTCTCCCTTTTCATCAAGAAAGAAACCTTGGGGCCTTGGGGCTGGGAAGGTGGCTCAGTGGTAGAGCGCTTGCCTTGCAAGCATGAGACCCTGGGTTCGATTCCTCAGCACCACATAAGCAGAAAAAAAAGCCAAAAGTGGTGCTGTGGCTCAAGTGGTAGGGTGTTAGCCTTGAGCTGAAGAGCTGAGGGACAGTGCCCAGGCCCAGAGTTCAGGCCCCATGACAGGACCCCCCCCCCCCAAAAAAAAAAAAAAAAAAAGAAAAAGAAAAAAAGGAAAGAAACCTGGATGCATTAAAAGATTAACAGTGTATCTCACAGACTAATCAGGTTGTGTTTTGAGTCATTTTAGCCTCATTACAACCTGTTGGGTTATTCTTACCCCATTTTACAGGAAATACATTCCTGAACTTTTGGATCTAGGACCTTGGTTGTGCAAGCACTTAACCACTGTGCTACATCCCTACATCCTATTCTTTTTTATTTTTTTTTGTCAGTTGAGGGGCTTGAACTCTGGGCTTGGGCATTGTCCTTGCGCTCTTCAGCTCAAAGTGATCAACGTTCTATGGCTGGAGCCGCAGTGCTACTTCCAGTTTTCTTGTGATTTATTGGAGATAAGAATGTCATGGACTTTCTTGCCTGGGCTGGCTTTGAACCGAGTTGCTCAGATCTCAGCCTCCTGAGTAGCTAGGATTACAGGTGTGAGCCACCTATGCCCAGCTCGGGTATCCTATTCTTGTGTTTTTTTTTTTTTTTTTTTTAATAAGTTTTTTTTTTAATTGTGAAAATACCATACAAAGGGGTTACAATTGCATGAGCAAGGTAATAAGTATATTTCTTTTTTTTTTTTTTTTTTTTTTTTGGGTCCAGTCTTGGGGCC